AAATATTATAAAATATATTTAAAAACTTTATTTAAAGTATCTCTGGTGATTGAGGCTATTCTAGGTCAGTTTTTAATGTATGATTGGTATTGAATTTGTTTCTTTTTTTGGTATTTTTTTTTTTTTTACAGTTTAGTTAAGTTTCATTCTGTCCATCAAGATTAGATTTCTCTCACATCACAACCTTGTTCTTAAGACAGCAAATTCTCAGTGGTCTTCAAATTAACATTAGCAGTATTCAATGGATATCATCATAAAATCATCTTTTTCTATGCCATGTCATATTTCATGCTTTCTTTCTTATCTATATTATTGTCACTCTGTCCTGCTATTAAAAGGACATACATACAGCTACAGTACAGTTCAAAGTCCAAAGAGTTCTGCAGTGGAATATGGGTAGTGGGAGACAGAAAGTTGGATGTGGTTATTTATGCACATTTGTAACGACAGTAACCAGCCCTCCATATCAGTGACATTCAGTCAGGGTGGAAATGCTCTTTTTCTGACCTTTTTTTCTTTGCTGGAATCTGTACAACCACAAACACACTTAAAGAAATGCTGCAACACTTCTTTTATTAGACTTCATTCACATTAGACAAAAATTTCATCTTTTTTATTTTTAAACTGAAGTCGCGCACGTACGACTACAAACACATACTCACACAGAGGGGCTTCTGTTAGCCTTCAGAACTGAGTGTAATGCTTACAAGGTATTTATTCCAAACTTGATAAATCAATCCAAGAACAAACATACACATCCAACTTCATTGTACATTCATAAGGTAAGATAAGATAAGATAACAGACTTTATTGATACCACACTGGGGAATTTTACTCGCTACAGCAGCTCCATATACAACACTGCAGATATGAAAATACACATTAAATAAAAAAATGTAGATATAAAAAAAAAATACAGATATAATTGGAAATAGAAAAAAAATAACAAAGGTTATACATACACTCTATACAGCTTTTTCATACAGATGTGATTAATATGGAACATTCATCCATCTGTGCCTCTTGTTTGCCTAAAAGCACACCCATACTGTGCATACAGTACTGTATATTTTCACCAGTGAGGGAGGGAAGAACAGTGTCTTTACTAATGCTGGTGGTTTCACTCAACATTTCAACCAGATATGAGAGGTGCAAATTTTAGGAGCTCAAAATGCATTCCATGTATGGTCTGAATACATTACTGTACTATTTGGGTTTTTTTCTGACTTACATATAAACAGATTCTATCATGTCAGTTAAAAAGTGAAAGTAGATGAGTAAATATCTATAAAATAATCTATAAAACTAGATTTCTATGGAAGTTGAGTCATACAGTGTGGGAAGAAATAAGTATCAACACTGACAAACGAGTATCAGCTTCAGCAAGAGGGGCTAACACTATCCAGCCAGGATGTCACCCATCTCAGTGCAGGTGCCCCAACCTGCAGGAGGAGTTTCTAGTGCCGTGACAGGGGCATGATCTTTATGTTGCTGTCCTCTTCAGGATACAGACGAAAACCAGGATGCAGTGGCTCAGTGAAAGTTGTACGCACAGTGTACAGGTGGGTCAGTGTATCAGGAAAGACTTCAAAAAAGGACAAAATACCCGCTGGCCAGTCCAGATACACTCCTATGGTACTACGGTGTGTAGCACAGTCCATAAACTCCAGACAGGAATTGTTATGATAAAACTTCCCTTCACAAAACCAGCACCAAGACATTTCATTTTTTCCCAAAGACATTTCAGTTGAATCATCTGACACCCTGGCTATACTCTTGTATGTCACTCCAACATCAGCTGAAAAACACTCAACCTCCCAGTAATGGCGATCGGTCAGACCCTCTTCACACAGTACTTGATAGCAGGCAAATCTGTCTGGATTATCAGGATATGGCTGCTTCTCACTAACATATGCTGCCTTTTTGTTCTCCTCTGTCAAAATGATATTCACGTCTGCTGTGTTGGGGTCCAGTGTCAGATCACAGGCATCTGCAATTAAGACGAGAGAAACAATAATAAGGGAGAGCTATTTCTGTGAGTGTGATCTCTTGATCTCAGATTGTTTCAGTAAAATCTTGCATCATCAAGTTAGAGACACGTTACAACTCTGCCATTCTGGATGATGTCAACATATTATGTAATCAAAGTTAAAATGAGATGTAGAAAGATGTAGAAGATGTCAGGTGTCAGATCCTTTACCAGGTAATAAGTTATGCTGAAACTCATCTAATCATGAATCAAAGGACCAGTGTGTAGGATTTAGTGGCATTTAGCAGTGTTGTTGCAGATGGCATCTCCCTCACNNTGTAGTTGCAGATCCCTCACTTTACCCTGCCCTTCCAAGCACGAAAGAGAAACTACGCTGGCCATAACAAATGTGAAGGGCCTATCTAGAAACAGTGTTTGTATATTCTGGGCTACTGTCGAAAAATGGTAGTTCAACATGATCAACTCCATGGAAGGCGACCCACAGCTTCTGTAAATATAAAAGACTTTTTCTAAGGTAACACAAAACTAACTATTCCTATATGCAGGTGATTATACACTAAGGAAAACGGAGTTGTGCATTATATATTCTATTTATGCCAATAGATCCTTCTTAATGTTACACAAGTGGCTTTACGCAACTTACTACAACAAAAAGAAAAGTATAGTTATGGTTACATGCCATGGCTCAGCTTGTTAGTATTCCTTGTTATTCCTCGATATTAGGACACTCAAAAGTAGAGTGGCATTCGTTTATTTCTGCCTGCCTAATTTTTAGTATATCTAGGTCACTTTGGTGTGCATTACACAGCGAGTATAGTGTCATGTGGGTACCAGAACATCATTGGCATGGTTGTACAACATCAAGCGTATAGCATTTCATTTAGAAATAATTATGTTCTTACATCGTCTCAGCAGCTTCAAGTCAAACCAGTACTCTTCATTTTGGTCCACACTGATGGGAAATGGAGGGACAGCAGTTGAAAACATAACAAATATTGTCCCACATGCATTTCAAATTAAACAAATAAAGTGAATCTTGCTAATTAATCTTGGAATAAGGATAGGAGTGTGTCTGTTAGCCTGTTTGAGCGTACTTGAGTTTCTCCAGACTGCAGCGTGAATCCCTCTGTATTTCAGTCAGCAGTTTGATTCCTTGATCTGTCAGGTGATTAAAGCTCAGGTCCAGCTCCCTGAGGCTGCAGTGGTCAGACCTCAGAGCCGAGGCCAGGGCAGCGCATCCATCTCCTGTCACTTTACAGAATGACAGACTACAGAAATCACACAACAGACATTTTAGATGTTTGGTAGATGATCAGCACTAATTTTTACTTGTTAACACAAGTTGACACTATCAATGTCATGACAGCTTAAATATGAACATTTACAGCTATTGTAAATAAAGAACTTGCTGGACACAGTAAAATTACTTTCAGAGGAAAATTTGTATGTAACACACTACAGGTATTCACTCCATCCTCACTGACAAGGACTATTAGAACTATTCTCTACTATTAGAAAGTATGCCACTACAATTCAACAGTAGCACAGCCTCCAAAATCCCCATAAAGTTGAATAAACGCATGTATACCACAGTTTAAAAAAGATAAGATAAGAACCATGAATGTCTATAGAATTTTATTAAAGAGCTGAGTGTTGTATGTGTGTATTGGAAAAAGCTGAATTCAGGTAAAGGTCAATTAGTAATGTCAACGTAAATAAGAGTTATTGTTTAAACTGACCGTAATATTTTCAAACCACAGTGTGGGTTCATCAGTGCATTACACAGCGCCATCACTCCTGAGTCCTGCAGGTCATTGTAGCTCAGGTCCAGCTCTGCCAGGTGGGAGTGTTTGGAGCTGAGCACTGAGGCCAACACCTTACAACCTTTCTCAGTGAGTCTGTTGTGACCGAGACTGAATGACAAATGTAGGAATATAACTTACTTCTCATCATGCAGAATATTTGAAAATAATTTACATTGTTAATGATTTACTAATTTACTAACTTTGTTATCTACATACATGATCAGAATTTAGATTTAATGACTTAAAGGACCAGTGTGTAGGATTCAGTGGCATCTAGTGGTGTAGTTGCAGATTGTAACCATTTGAATAAATACCACCATGCATGGTTATTCAACATGGCAGCCTTCGTGAGGAGGACCCACTCCCTCTGTAGATAAAAATATGTTCTTTCTAAGGTGACGAGAACACGATTCTTGTGATTTGTGTCTACAGAGGTGATTACTGTATATACAATATAAAACATACCTATGAATTTTATATTCTATTTCTGCCAATAGATGTTACACACTGGACCTTTAATGTTATGATGTTATTTGACATTTTCTTCGCTAAACCGTCATTGAGCTGATGAAATTAACCTTTTCAAACATTATTAGCACACTTCCTAACACATATTTTGGTTCCTTCTTTCTTCCATTTTTTAATGATATTTCAGCGACAATTTAGTCTTGTTTTTTTAATGCAGTGCAATGTATTGCAGTATTTTACCTCAATATTTCAAGAGTACAGTTTGTGTTCATCAGACCAGTAGAGAGGTTCTCCATTTCTGAGTCTTTAAAATTGGCGTAACTCAGTTCCAGATCTCTCAGATAACATGGTTTGGATGTGAATGCTGTCACCAACTCCCTACAGATGTCTGCAGTCCGTGGATTTCGGTTTAGTCTTTTGGGAAAGAGGTAATAAAAATGACATAAATAAGAAATACATAAATTGGACATACATGCGTTAGATATTGCAACTTAACTGTCTGTTTTAGCAGGACAGCTTTCCCTAGGATGTGAAAGAGCCTTTGTAGAACAAATAGTGCACATCATTTCTACCTTACAACATGGCCAAGAAATCAGATGTAGAACCTTTTATGCACCATACCTCCATGTTTAGGGGAATAATATGTCTGAGACTGACCTGAGCTTCTCCAGTTTAGGGCTATCTAGCCCAACAGAAAGCACAGAGCATAAGAAGCCCTTCAGTATGCTGCCACTCAGCTCCAGTTCTCTTAGATTTGAGATGACTGATTTGACAGCTGACGCCAACTTTTCACATTTGTTTTGTGAGAGTCCATAACCAGACAGACTACAAACACAAACAATGCATTTTAGATATAGTGAAAATAAAAGTTTAAGTGACCAACTCACCTTGCTTTTTTGCTGTTCCTCACAGCTGGGAGAAGCCTAAAAATACCTCTTGTTGATGGTCTGAATTTGTTTAGGCTGAATTCATCTAGGGACGTATTTGACATTAGAATTAAGTCAGCCAGAGCTGAGCACTGAACAGGAGAGAGCTGTCTTTCTGGCCTGTGATTTTGTTGCAAACTCTGCTTCACAGTATCATGTAGGGAACTGTCTTTCAGCTCGATCAGGCAGTGAACAAGGTTCAGACATCTTTCACCTGAGCAGTCCGCTAAGTCTATTTCTATTAGACTTTTCTTAATTTCCTCAACAACTTCAGAATGTTCATCTGTCTGCTGAATCAGGCCATAAAGCAGTTTTTGTGTTGATTGTAGAGACATACCAATGAGGAACCTGAGGAACATGTCCAGTTCTCCTGTCTTTCTCAGAGTTGAATTGGCTATTAAAATTTCAATCAGCTCATCCACAGGTAAATCAACTGGATCAGCATCCAAGATAGACTTGAGCTCTTCCTCAGACCCTATGAGCAGGAAGTCCTTGAGGCTTGGAGAGTCTATTTGTTTTACTTGCAAAACTGTGGTACACAAACAAAGCAGCAAAGTACTCCTGAACTGTCAGATGCACAAAGCAGTAGAGTTTCCGTGTGTTAAAGACATTCTCTTCTTTGAATATCTCTGTGCACAACCCACAGTAAACTCCAGCTTTCTGTATGTCAATACCATACTTTTTCAGATCATTGACAGTAAATACGATTTTGCCTTCTTTCAGATGTTCAAATGCCATCCTGCCTAACTTTAAAATGAATTCTTCATTTGACTTAAAGATAATCTCTTTATCAGACTCATTCTGGTTATCATACTTTTCAGTAGCTACCTGCATTTGAATGCAAAGGAAGTGAGTGTACATCTCAGTAAGAGTTGTAGGTATTTTTATGTTTTCATCTTGAGTGTTGTCCTTTTCTAGCAGCAACCACGCAAGAACTTTTGCCGCAATCCAACAGAAGATAGGTATGTGACACATAATGTATAAACTCCGGGATATCTTGATGTTGTTAATAATTCGTTGAGCAACTGCCTTGTCCTGAACTCTCTTCTCGAAGTACTGTATTTTTTGCTCATCATTAAATCCTTTGACCTCAGTCCATTGGTACACATACTGACGAGGGATGCGGTGAACTGCTCCTGGTCTTGAGGTTATCCAGATAAGAGCGGAGGGAAGAAGATGTTCCCGGATTAGATTGGTCACCAGAGTGTCCACCGATGATTCCTTAGTGGCATCTGTCAGTCTTTTGGTTGTTTTGAAATTCAGTTGAAGTTGGCTTTCATCAAGACCATCAAAAACGAACAAGACTTTGTATTTGGCAAATATTCTTGCAACTGCTATGTTTTTAAGTTCTGGATGGAAGTCTTTCACAAGTGTCTCAAGACTAAACTGATCATCTAGGACCAGATTTAGCTCTCTGAATGGTAGCACAAAGATAAAGTCCAAATCCTGATTGGCTCCACCATCTGCCCAGTCAAGGATGAACTTCTTCACAGAGACAGTTTTTCCAATGCCAGCA